GTATAGTGACAGTAAGTCAGCAATAGCAATTGTACACAACCCTATTCAACATGATCGAATGAAGCATGTTCGCATTGACAGAAATTTCATCAAATCAGAGATCGAAAGTGGAAAAATTTGTCTATCCTATGTGCCATCTGGATCACAGGAAGCAGACATCCTCACTAAACCATTACTTAGGGTCGGGTTTTAGACAAATGTATCCAAACTGGGAATGATTGATATACATTCACCAGCTTGAGGGGAGTGTTGGAAAGGGATGACGAGGATTATTCCTTGTGGAATCCGAGTCAGAATCTTTCCTTTTTTATTTTTAGTTATTTATTCTTATTTAGGCTGTGATTATTTTCCTTTTTTAGGCTGTGATTTAGTTTCCTTTTTTTCTTTAGGCTAAATTAGTGGATTAGTTTCCTAGAATAGCTCCTAGATTGATTCTTAGAAGTTTTATATATTTGTACAGATCTTCTCAATGAAATTAGAACAGAAATCTTCAACCATTTGTTTCTGTTTTCACCTTTCTCAAATCAGAAAGATTTCCAAAGACTCCAAAGTTAATAACAACAATAAGAACAATAATACCAATTCTTTTCTTGTAATGCATCACAAACATATCCAAAATATTTCTTTCCCAAATTTACATAGGTGAATTCAAGATAACAATTTGACTAGAACAAAAGATCATTTCAAGTATACCATAATCCCCCAACCATACGTTCTGATATACTCTATTAAAAATTATAGAACCCATCTGTTCAAAAATCTGATATTGATATATCAAGAAGCAACTTTAAAATCTATGCCCACCGGACCAGCATCCATTCTGTCTTGCTGATCGCTGCTTCAATAGTAGCAGCCTTCCCTTCAAACACTCTACTGTTCCTTTCCTTCCATACATAGAGCAAGCAGAAGCATCTTCCATAGGATCTTCCCTCTAACTGAAAACCTAGCTATCACCAGGAAGATAAAAGTGGTGGCAAATCAGGGGTTGTCAGTCAACATGCATCTAACAGCTGAAGGAAGTGGGCCCAGACAGAATGAGTGAAAGTGCAGTTAATGAAGAGGAAGTTGACAGATTCTGGACTTGAACTGCAAAAACTACAGGAAGGTGCGGTGAAAGTTTCTTCAGTTATTTCCCATTATAGAAATAGGCAACATTTAGCCTTCTAAAACATACTCAACTGCTCTAACTGTTAACCAATAAAATCCTTTAAACCTCACCCTATTCCCAAACTTTCCTGCTATCTTCTGAAAGCAAGTATGTAACATAGACTGAATTATCCTACTTTTTTTTTATAGTTAACTATCATAGCTTATTGAACCAATGACATAGCAGAGTAACATAACTAGGAAAGTAGTTTAAAACCTTTATTGTTTCAAAATGGATAATTTGGTGCAACAAATTACAATAGACACCATATGAAATGTAGAAGCTGTCATAAAGGGAACTAAAGGAATTTTTTTTTTACCTGATAATCTACTCCTGTTGTAAAAATGAGCCGACCAACTCCTAGAAGGAGAAGTGGACTTGTAGATTTAAGTGCAGTCTTCCATTTCCTTGGGAGAAAAGAGTAAAACTTGAATCCACAACATAGTGCAGAGGAAAAATTCTTGAAGCATCAAAAGTAGCATAGAAGGCAAGCAGGAAGCACCAAACATCATTATTTTCAAAACTAAAAAAGATTTCTCATGACTGGTTTCTAAAGGCATCTTTCCCTGCTCTCTTAGAAAGGCACACGTTCAACAAAAGAAATAATAAGAGATAACCAACAAAAATATTTAAACCAATGTAATAATTTATCATCCAGTTAAACAAATTGAAATAACACGGTTCTTCATGAGGTCTACCAGTCTAGGATAGTCAAAGTAAAGAAATGACAATATTTGATCCATATAAAGTTAAAGAAACAACATAAACATAACCACATAATCAGGTGTCAGCATTAAAACTTTCAGCCTAACTCTTACGAACATAGATCCGAAATTGCTATTTTGTTCTCATGCTAGAGTGTTCCCTAGAAGTGAAGTACACACACCTTAATCCAAATGTGTTGAGAAAAGGGTTAAGGCATGCTATGGCATTCCGTGAAAGTAATATGCTACAACAGCACCAATTCTGGTGAGAAATGAGAAAATATTCCTACATTTTTTTGGATGAGGGTGGGTAAAGAAGTTGATCAACACAAGTATTTGATTAGCTACTTGAAGTCTAGGAACATTAACAAACAAGACAATGGAATTAGTAGGTATAGTGAAAATAAGAAGGATTAATGTAGTACGAATACAAGAGACTGAATGGAAGGGTGAAGCTAAAGAAATTGGTAATTGTAAACTATGGTCTACAAGAGAAGTAAATAAAGGAAATAGAGCAGCAACAAATGGTAGAGAAAGATTAAGAAATGAAATTGAAATGTTAAAAGAAATGGAGAAAGAAAAAATTTTAATTAAACTAGCTTTAGGCAAGGAATCATTGATGTAATTAGTGTTTATACACCTCAAGTAGGTTTAGAAGTAAAGATTTAAAACAACTTTGACAAAATAAAGATGGACTACTCAAGAAATCCCAAATGGATAAAGGATCCTTATAGAGGGAACCTAAATGGTTATGTGGGAAAAAGAAGTAGAGTATAGATAGGGAGTATCAAGGATTTGGGTTTAAGAAGAGGAATAATATCATCATCATCATCCAAGCCTTATTCCAACTATGTAGGGATGGCTATAATGAGAATTTGACAAAAGTTTTAATGCCATCTGCCAACCTGACGCAGCCATCCTCCTTTATCCAGGACTGGGACTGGTGTTGTAAGACAAGCTCATGCTGGCCCTAACACATGCTTCAAAATTTTCTCCCGAACCCGTTAATTACCTTGTCTTTAAACTAGGATTTCGGATTTCGTAGAGGGTTAAGGGATGGTAAGTCGATTTGTGTCACTAAGCTACTTCATTAACTAGAGTCTGATTGTTTAGACCCCACATCTTCTTATCAAAGAGTTTGGACTCCTCTTCCAAAAGGTACATTCACTTGTTCTTCTTTTCTAAAATCCCTCAGTTCTAACCCCAATTCCCAAGGGTACCCCTTCAAAGAAGTTTGGGCACGACCTATTCCTCCAAAAATTGTCGTATTCTGCCGGGAAGTCTACTATGGGAAAATCAATACCTTGGAAAACTTGCAGAAAAAGAGACCCTCTCTTTGTCTCTCCCTGAATTGGTGTTCCTTGTGTAAGGCCCAGAATGAGGACCATTTCCATTTGCTGATCTCCTATTCCTTTGCTACAGCCTTATGGAGTTGGAGCCTTAGTTTATTTGGAGGTAGGTGGTCTCTGTCATCTGATTTGAGTTTGTTATTTAACCCTTCTTGTTTTGTATGGCACACTAGAAGAGGCAAGTTCATGTGGAAATGTGTTAGGGCAGCCACCTTATGGACTCTTTGGGAGGAAAGGAATGCAAGAGTCTTCTTAGAGAAGGAAAGAAGATTAGATGAAGTGAAGGACTGCATCCTAACAAGAGCAATACATTGGCTGAAAACCTTGGATATATTTGATGATTTCTCTTTTGATGACTTGTGGAGGAATTGATTAGTAATAGCTAATGCTTCTACAAAGAAGAATAGAAGTTTGTCAAAATGGGTTCCGCCTATAGAAGGTGTAGGGGGTGTCCTGAGGAGTAAGGACAGCAACATCATCCCCTTATTCTCAGGATCTGTGGAAGTGGGGGACTCTACAAGGGCAGAAATACTAGCTGCAGTACAAGGAATCCAGATCGCTAACCAGCTTGGGGTGGAGCATCTCCTAGTTGAAGGGGACTCTCAAGTGGCAACAAGGTGGCTTCTAAACCCGGATGCTACCATTTGGGGCTACAAGGATCTCATCCAAAAAGTAAAGTGGTTAACTAGTAATATGAGAGTTGAGGTAAAATGGGTAAGCAGGTCTGCCAACACTATGGCTGATTCTTTGGCCAAACAGGAGGTTTCCAAGGGGGATCTTTTTTGTGCTACTTTGTAAGTTGTTATAGTATATTGGAAAGCTGTACTTAACTAGCCTGGAGAGTTTGCATCTCGTGCCTCTCCTTGGGAACATTGTACTATTTCCCACTGCTGATTAATAAATTTCTTTCAATTATCAAAAAAAAAAGAAAGATGAATGTTTAATAACATAAAAAAGTGGATCAAATTCAAGTTTTTCCTTGCTAGAAAAATATAATGAATGATATGTAAGAATTGCAAAGTGATTATCAAAAAAATTGCAAGGTTATTAAAAAGAAAAGATTCACAACATAGACTAATGGTGGTACATGTTCACGCTTAAATATGAAAAAAAAAGAAAGAAGAAAATAGGTCATCAAGAATTACGTGGTTGAATCTATAAGAAGAAAAGCTTTGACACTATGTCATGGGCATCTACAATTTGACAATGACACAGTATTTTTAGCAAGGATTACCTAAAGTGAACCTTGAGAAGAGCTGTGGGCTGGAGTAAATATGAGTGAGGAGGCAGACAGAACTACAACACTATTGGGATTGTCAACTAATGAGTGGCCAATTAAGTATCTTGATCTCCCACAAAGAGGTAACTATAGGAGAAGTGTTTGGGGAAGGGACCCTGTCTTGGAAAGGTATGCAAAGAAATTGACCACTTGGAAGAGGGGACGATAACCTTGATCAATTCAACCATAAAAACCTACCAGTCTACTATCTCTTGGTATTTAGGATGTTGCGTGTAGCAGCCAAAATATTGTAGGCCTATCATGAGGGCTTCCTGTGGGAGCTAGGAGCACCTGTTAAAATGGAAAACCATGTGTACCAAGAAAACAGACAGGAGCCTGGGCATGGGTAGGTTGGGAGAAAAGAATTCAGCCTTGTTAGGGAAAAGACTTTGGAGGATTCCAATAGACTCTACCAAGCTATGGAATAACATGGTGACTAGCATTCATGGGAGACACCCTAATGGTTGGTATGCCGGATTAAATGAAAGGGCCTCTTCCTCTTCTCTTTGGAAGGCAATGATTGAGTTGCTTCCTTGATTCCTAACTCGTACTCACTTTTTTACAATTCTGGATATAGGGTTAAATTTTAGGAGGGTCTTTGGTGGGAAGATGGATTGTTGAAAGAATGACATTCTAATATTTATTCTATCTCTTCCCTTCAAAACAAACCCATTTCACATCCCCTTTCCCCCTCTCCATCTGGGAACTCTTGTGATTATGGTTTTAGGAGAAGGCTTAGAGACCATGGATTACCTACAACCTAAGATCTAATCAGCTCTCTGGGTTTTGTTTCACTCAATCCATCCAATTCTGATCATAGAATGCAGACTGTCTCTTCTTCCTGTTGTTCTCATGTGCACCATTTTCCCTGTACTTAAACCCCCTTTAGCATCTTCTCATGCCTTTCCAGTAAAGCAAATCTAGTTTAAACCTATACTACACAAACTACAGCTCTGATCTTGAATCTGGACACCCCTTCTAATCAGATTTCCTTAGTAAGACACCTATTTAAAGCTGCTGCCCACACTAGAACTAACTTTTGAGGGGGAGAATGGGTTCCAAATCCTGGAAGCAGGAACTGAGACAAACTGCAAGCCGTCAACTTGTGAGCAAAAGATTTAACAGTAAAGAGGCCATCCGTAGACCAGATCCTGGCCCGAAAACAGGAGCAAATCAGCAAAGTTTTCAAGCCCCCAGTCCTGAAAGCTTCACCGATAGGTAGGATTCCAGACCACCCCAATCCCCAGGAGCTCATAACAGTCGGCCACCATTGCATCTTGATCAACCACCAGCTGGAAAAGCTGAGGAAAAACCTCAGAAAGAGGACGGCCAGTGCACCAGGGCTCCTTCCAGAAAGCCAGTGTGCAACCATTTCCCAAATTTGGTTTGAATCTTCTGCTAAAATTTGGAAGCAGATCCATAGTTTTCCTTCAAATTGAACAGCCCAGGGAGGAAGGGGAAGAAGTGGTTATCCAATTAAGCTTTTCGAAGAATTCTCAGTTGAAGATTTATTAAGGCTCAGTTTGGGAAGAGTGCAAATACAAGAATGTACAGTGTAAAGTGTTAGAACTGAATGGTCAGTGGCAAAAGACGAGAGGCAAGAGACAGTGAGAGAAGAATACAATGAAGAGACAAATATGCCTCCACTTTTTCTTTTGTTTTCTGCCAGGGCATTTTTTTTCTGAAAAAGGAGCTTTTTTCAGCACATGGATTTAGGCTTTATTTTGTAGATGTCACAAATTTTATCAATTCAGAAAACTTTGTTATTTTAATTTTTGTAAAACTCCCTTACATAAATACATGCTAAAAATATGAAGCAAGAAAATTTATCAAAAAAATATGAAACAAGAAAAACATTTTTTGAAAAAAACTGAAGTTAATACTCACACTGACAAGGCATTCCGTGCTTGTCTTGAAACTAATGAATTGGCCAAAACAAACGACCCTACCCCAAGATCCATCTGCTTGCCAAATTAAAAATTTCAAAGATCAAAGGTTCAATATGAGGATTACAACTGATCAATACTGGAATTAGATAATATCATTATAGAACAGAATCATAACCAGTAACGATGGATTTAATTTTAAGCAAGCACCAAGGAATGCACATGTTAATAAATTAGCCCATATTTAGAAGCACTTGCCTAATAAAAGGGTAAATAAAAATCCAAGTTATGTACTAAAATAAAACATGAAGTTGACAATACAAGTTACTCAATAATTGTTCATTCTCATTTTCTAATATTTCCATTGCCATAGATATATCTAAAGAGGTATAGCCTACAATATCGATATATACAAAAGCAATGCCAAGTAGAGTGTAAAGGAACTATTAGACAGGAAAGAAAAATGACCACATATTGAGCAAGTTAAGAACAATTTGTTATCCTTACAAATAAACTTAAAAAAGAGTATACAGCAGAAATAGAGCCATTAGACTCTCCCCCTGGAATACACTTAAATCATAATTCCGAATATAAAACAAGGATTTCTGGAATTTCTAACTTTTTCAGCATTAATATTGAGAAAAGATAGATAATAGCTAGCCCTTGATAGTACATAAAAAATTAAAAATTCATTAAAAAGGAATATAGGTAAAGTATATAAATTTTGGTGGGAGAATAAAAGTAAGTTATGCACTTATGCTTGAAATTTATACAGGGTTTTGGGCTTGTATGGTGAAAAAGATGGAAGTATGTGTTAAATCTTCTTATGGAAATGGGATTTGGGAAACTTGGTGTCAAACCTACCTCTACACCTATTTATGTCAAACATAAGCTTTCAGCTAATGATGGTGAGCTCTTGGTAAACAGGGGAGTGTTTCAGAGGCATTTGGAGAAGTTACTATACATTTGCATGACACGGCCAAATATCTCATATGTTGTTAGCGTGATTAGTTAGTTTACATGCCACTAGAGACACACATATGGCTGCTGCAAACATGAATCTTCATTGACTGAGACCATGCCAAATAATTAGTCCCATCTCACTGAGGTTACTACCCCCAATAGAGTCTCCACATACCCTCCCAGACTAAACCCAGAATCTGTGGATTGTTCCATCTCACCTCCAGTTTGCTCCACTAGACAAACGGAGACAAACGAAAATCAAAATACAATGTTACTAGTCAAGATTTACTGCCCTAAGGCCAAAACTGCTCTTCAAACAGCCAAAGCAGGGATTTCACCAGACCTGGCAAAATGGGAGAAAGGGAGAAAGTCTAGCCGCTCCTACTAGAGGCTCCAAAAATCACTTCAACTTGGATCGATCTCAAAGATAATCAGAATGCTTCTATTCTAGCCCCAAGCACCACTTCCAAACTCCCTTTGTACCCCTTAATCTAAACACTCTCTAGTTAGCTAGGGTTTTAAGGAAACTCTCCAAGAACCTGCCTTGGGCCCTAAACAAGCATTGTAATCTTCTCCAAAAACCTCATCTAACTGAGCTAAATACTTGCTAATTAATTAACCAATCAACTCTCCATACAACCTATGTATGGGATTAAAGAGAAGAAAAATGAATAAGGTAGGAACTCCGTTTTGATACCAAGATGTAGATCCCACCAATAAAAATATGAAAAAAAAATAAAAAATAGAAGAGAAGAAGAAGATTGAAGAATATGGAAGAGAGAGAAACAATGGAGAGAGATGATGGAAGAAAAAGGGAGGAAGACAGTAATTCGAACCAACGTTCAAAGTATCGATACGTATCGGGAGCTTCCCGATATGCCCCTACAGAGGGTGTATCAGGGTTTTGACCGGTTCAGGGGGTGGACGGACCTTAAACTGGCCCCTCTGAACCGGATTTGGAAAAAAAAAAAAAACTACCGATACGCCTCTACCGACGTATCGGGCATATTGATATTTTGAACCTTGATTCAAACCTCTCTCCAGCCCCCACAAATATCTTTTATTCTTTCATTGTAAAAGAGACATAATTACATGTATACCCTTAGTAGGGCAGCTAGCACTAAAAACAGTAACAAAAGAAATAAAACAGGCCCACAAGTAAGGCCCGCTAACTACAGAAATAAAACATGAACAGAAATAAATAAAAATAACAATGTTCCATGGCCCATTCAGCCCATCATCTCTACAATGACCTCTGCGTTACCTACGACTTTAGGTAACAAATATAAATCTTGTGGCTTTTGGAACCCTATCATACATTCCTTGCATCTCTCTTCTCAATTCTTCAAAAGTTCTTTAAAACTTTTAAAGAAGTGCAAGTCTCATTGGTGGCAGTGGCTTCACTCTTTAAAATTTTAAATTATGGTTTACAGGTTGCAATCTCAAGGTAAAAGATGACCCTGTTTCACATCTTAACAAAGGGAAAAAAAAAGTCTATTTTCATTCAAATCATCTACAATAATAGTGGGAAGGTATACTTAAGTCTATTTGAAAAACTCAATGCATGCTTAAAGTCAATTTTATGAAACCTCAAGGCATGCTTAAGTCTTTTACCCTTATATCCAATGTTTTAAAATGCGGAGGTGTAACGCAAGGCATTTCACTACCTAGAGGCATGAGGCGTAGTTCAGAATGTAAGAGGCATAAGCCTCCCGAACACAAGGAGGCGTGAGCCTCCTTAAGAAGAGGGGGATGAGGAGGAAGGAGGAGGAGGAAGGGGAGGAGGCGTGGCACAAAGGCGATTCGTAGAATTAGGAATGTAATATGTTTTACATCACATTAGCYACTTGAAGCAATGCAATTAAGGAAAAAGAAAGATTGCGGGTTTTACAAGCTTGAAAATGTTTTATATGTTTGATTTTATTTTTAAATTTTCATTTGAATACGCTTTACATGTTATGTTTATGTATTTTAATTTAATTTTAGATAACAGGATTTTTAAAACATTTATTTTAAAATTTAAGTTTATATTTTTATTAATATTATGTTTAATATTTTTTTTGAATTTTCTGACTTTTTTATTTTTTAGCAGATTTTTGTATTTTTGCACCTTGCTTCAAAAAGGTGCACGCCTCACCTTGCGCCTTGCGCTTTTAAAACATTGTGCATAGCATGTGCTCTTACATTGGTGTGCGTGTGTGTATTGAAAAAATAAAAGTTTTGACGATGTGAATGTTAATGTATTATTTAATGGCATTAAGAACATGTTAGGAAACCTAGCATTCTGCACCATTATATGAACCCATCAAGTCATACTGTATCCAATATTCACTGAAAGTCATTAATATGGATGCCAAGGTCATCTAGTTCAATAGTAGAAGGTCTTGCCAGGGGAGGGTTGTTTTCTTTTGATAGTGAATTGCCATGGGAGGAGCATTGAGGAGCCCGTTGCACTAGCTAGGAAGCTAATAACTCTAATTATCTATAATTGCATCTATTTCCTATATCAGTTTTTCTTTGTGTATATTTACATTGGGCTCTTATAGACAGTTTGAATCATTCTCCCTGCCTTTGGGGTGTGGTTAATTGTACTCTTTTATATTTGATTCTCTCATTAATTAATTTCCCTTATCAACAAAAATGCACAAAAGAGTAGTTCATCAAATCAATGAATAACAATAGCTAATCCACTTAGTAGTCGATCAAGACTACAATCAGTCTTGAATTCAAAAGAAAAAGAAAGAAGAAATTTCAGAAGAGAAGAAGAAGAGGGGGAGAAAAGAGAAGCACACGAAGAGACTTTGAAAAGAAAGAGAGGGTTGATCAGTTGATCTGCCAACCCACTCTTAATATTTATGTTGGACAGTTTTGTATGCCCTTAGCTTCAATCAGAATGATGTACTTTATAAGTTTATTGTAAATGAATAAAAGTGCATATTTGATTCATGTTCCCTTGGTATGTTTTTGTGAATTACCCTTAAACTGGGCAC